ATAATTTAGTTTGGACACATTTTGGAGGTAGGGGCTGCAGTGCAGGGATTTGCCTCCCAGAGGTCTCCTTCTCCTTTTTCCAGTCTTATTTATTTATTTTTAAAAATACACAAACACAAACTGGACATAATTTTGTCTATGTAATCTCATCTCTGTATACAGCCCACCCTGATTTAAGTTTTAAAGTGATGTCATCTCTAAAAGGAAGAAGAAAGAGAAATACATTTCTGTCCGAACATGTGCAGCAAATGCTCGGTACAGAATGCTATGCATAGACCGAATGACTTTATTAATTTTCTATTTAAAAGAATGTGACTCGGGCTCCACAGGTACAGATGGAGGAATATTTGCATGTTATACAGAGGGAATTTCCAACATTAAGAAGGCCTTTTATTGGACGTGTGGGAATTAAAGTAATTTTATATTATTATACAATTATACAGGTTTATGGTTTATATTACTGCATTATTATTCCAGTCCCAGTAGTTGTGTGTCATAGCCGATGTGGTCCACTTTTCTTCATGATTTGATCTGTGCCCAAGGGAACTTTAGGGAATTGGGGAGTTATCAAGGTAGCATGTATGAGGTGCCCAACAATTTGATCATTTATAGCCCGGCTGGTGAAAATTATTTCAAATTTAGACAATCTAAATTCTAAGTCCTTGTGGTATTGTACTTAGCGCTCCAATAACAGTTGTTTACTGCTGTTGGCTTCTTCCAAAATTTGGTGATCTTTATTTGCAAATCTCACTATTTTGTAATCTTTTCCAATTCTTTGTCCTCAACAAGGATTGGGAATGATAGCAATATCTGGTGTTCACGGTGTCAGTCTGGATTTTAAAGTCCCGTAACATTTTTGCTATGTCATTTTCAATGACTCTATCAATGGCTTCATGTTTCTAATAATACTTAAAACAAAACTTTTTACATAAATGTTGGTGTGATATCTTCCCAACTTGATCATAACATTTTTTTTTGCAATCCAATTATTATATTGCCAGTTCTATCCTTATTTCAGTAAAGCCAATGTTTACTATCCAAACAGATCTTTTTTTTTTTTTTTTTGCCTTGATGTCGCTTGTTTGCCAGTGGCTGTCCCTGGGCAGCAAATAGCGTTTCATCTCTTTCCTTTTTGAATGTACTGTTCATTAAACACTGCCATGTTCTGATGTTGCCGGGTTTTCCAAAATGTCTATGAAACACTTTGGTTTTCCATTTTTCTAGTCTGATTTCAAGGTTGTTTTGTACAGTCATACATCAGTTTTATTTTCATAAATAGCCCTTTTTTCAGTGATTCTTTCAATAAAGTGTCTTTACTTGCTTTGATGTAATCATGAAGCCCCTGGTGCTTCCTCCTCTTTACTAAATACTAATACTAATAGTTACTGTATTTTGATATATAAGTTATAAACCTCCTAGTGTCCAGTTGGATTGAGGTGGTATATACGTTCATTAATGAATAAAACAAAAAAGGATATTGGACGTACGACTGATATTTAATTTTTTTTTCCTATGCAGCCAGAAAAAGTGTATGAGCAAGCTACTGGAGTATAGTGCTGATGTCAACATTTGCAACAATGAAGGTCTGACAGCAGTAAGTGCTATAATTTTATTCCTGCCATCCACATGACCATGGGACGTTGCAACTGGTTGTAAATGTGAGCTGGTTTCCAAGTGTTTAAATGACCATGTGGCTGGGGTGGTGGTGTAGTGTGGTAGTTGTAACTTTGAGGATGGGTTGTAACTAACTTTTTTTTTAGATTCTTGTAACTTTGAACATTTGTTAAGCGACTGATCATAAGTCGAGGACTAGCTCTATTTTTATAGACTTTTCTGAAATTTCTAAGCTAATGGAGATCTTAAGTATTCTGTTTCCATGAACATTAGATCATTGTTTAGCACTGAAATGCATGTGAGCAACCTGTAAATTTCCTTGCTGAATACATGCCCTGTTATCTTTTGACCCAGATCCATTGGCTTGCTGTTAATGGACGAACAGAACTGCTTCATGACCTTGTACAGCATGTTTCCAATGTAGATGTTGAAGATGCAATGGGGCAGACAGCACTTCACGTGGCTTGTCAAAATGGCCATAAGACGGTAAGTTGAAGAAGATAGCTTGATCCTGAATGCTCTGTCTTTAACAGTAATCAGACTGTAAACATTTTATACGCAAGAATCCCAATCCCAGAAAATGCCAAGGTTATTTATTGACTCTCAGCAGATAATATTGTTAAAAAATAATTGCTGATTTTGAAAATGATGGACTTTTCAGTTCAGCATAAATTTTAAACTATTAGACCTTTTAGACCAGGGGTGTCCAACTTGACAACTTTTAGACTTGTGGACTTCAACTCCCAGAATTCTCCAGCCAACCATGGGAATTCTGGGAATTGAAGTCCACAAATTTAAAAGTTGCTAAGGTTGGACATCCCTGTTTTAGACATTTAGTTATTTCAGTCAGGTTTTAGGCTGGATCATAATGCAGTGACAGCATTAGTTGCACTTGATCGTTTGTGGTGCAGCTGGGATGGCAGTGATTCATCTATGTCTGTCATCTTTAGAGACAACATAACCTTGAAATCTGGTAGATTGTATTAATAAGGCTTCTGTCACTTGTACACAACATTCTCAGTTTATGTTAAAATATTTTATAATATTGATAGACACACTTATTTACAAGGGGCTTAATTCATTGGGAAGATATTATTTTAATTCTTAGTAATCTAACCGATCTCTCATTTTAATGAACATTATTATTATTTTATTTATTACTAAATTTATATGCAAGCCATCTCACTCTCAGTGACTCTGACGATTATGTGATAAGAAAGTCTAAAATGTAGAGCTAAGGTAGGAAAATAAATTAAATTTTTAATTTTAATTTCAGTATATAAGGTTTTTTTTATTGGAGAACATGTTTTTGGTAATATAGAAACATAATCCTCTAGATGTTTGCATGCAATGGAAATAAGTTGCATTGAGTTTAGTGAAACTAAAGAGCATAGGATTGAAGCTTAAATCATGTTTATACATTTATTTCATTCATTTTTTTTTCTTTTTCAAAGACTGTTCAGTGTCTTTTAGATAGCGGTGCAGATATTAACAGGCCCAATGTGTCAGGAGCAACTTCCCTCTACTTTGCTTGCAGGTATAACTTTTCTGCCATTTTAAACATTACATGAAATATAGTTTGTGTTAAAATTGCAATCGACCAAAAGTGACAAAGTACGTATAATGCTGGCTTTGTCCTCCTCACCCCTGTTCTTAATAACTGCATCAGTTGTCTTGGCCTAACTGGACTTGAAACTGTCTTGTGCCAAATGAGACCAATTGTTCACAGTAGGCCCTCACAGTTGCCTTTCTGTTTGTTTCATTAAAGATTTATATGAAATTGATTATGTAATAATTGTAGTATAATTAAGTTCATCTGTGATTTTCACAGTAATGCAACGACAGTAGATGTTTTCTTCCAACCTCTGTGTGAAGGATGTCCTAATCAGTTCTCACGCAGACTTCCTTAGAATAATGCATATTATTTATCAAATGTTTTATGGATTGTAGAAAAGAATGGGTGACAGCAAAGCCTGCATTAACTAGAATTTACCAGGTTTCTTTATTTTATATAGCCATGGTCAAAGAGACACTGCACAGATTCTCCTGATGAGAGGAGCCAAATACTTGCCAGACAAAATTGGAGTCACCCCACTTGATCTTTGTGTACAGGTATAAATTGGTTTCAACTTTGTATATGGACAATTTAAATGTACTTGTTCATTGCCGTTGTAATCATCAATCATGTAAACACAGTTGTTTAGCATTTTATGGAGGTGTTGACAGATGACGTAAGAACGATTGCTATAGAGGCCACCAACATGGTGCCCACAAGACATAGTTCAGATATCACCTCCAAAACCATATTAGTAACTGCCAGATATTCAACTAAAATAATATTAAAGATGGATGAAATTCCACAAGATATTTTGGGTATACTATTTGTTCATTTGTTCATTCATTCATTCCTTCATTCGTTCGTTCAATTTATATGCCACCCATCTCAAACAAGTAAATCTGGGCAAACAATAATAACGTTTAATAAAGCCAATTAAAAACATAATACAAAAATAAAAATTAAGTATAGCAGCCGAGAAATATTATAGTCATATATTATTAGCATAACCAGGAAATGACGCCCAGGCCTGGGTGTATTTGTATTTATGTTTTTTCAAAGGAAAGGTCTAAATTCATAGCCATTCCTTCCAGTAGTTTGACTTGAATTGGCATAAAGTTGGTACAGTTTTATATTGTAACATTGTGAAAAATATATTTTTCTGGTCGTCAGTATTCCTTACTGTGGTGAAAGAGAAATGTATCTTTATTTTAGAATTGAAAAATAGGATTTTTTAAAATTTTGAGATGTGACCTAAAACACTTCCATGACAGTGAGTTCCTAGCAAGGCCATTAAATTTGCACCCGTGTGTGATCTCATCAAATTTTTCAGTTATCTTCAGCATTTAAGAAACAATTTTTGAATGTGTAGAAATGCCTGCTTATATGAAAACATTGTGGGTTTTTTTCAGGGAGGTTATGGAGAGACCTGTGAAGTTCTAATACAACATCATCCTAGACTTTTTCAAACAATTATTCAAATGACACAAAATGAAGATCTTAGAGAAAACATGGTAAATTCAGTTTTCCTCTTGTGTTGAACCTAAAATTGATGTGTAGGTGCTTCCTTTAAGTAAATGCATTTTTTCTTCTATGAAATTCTAAATGAATCATGCTTATAGTCAGTTTCTATATATGTTTATTTGGAAAGGCATCTCAATCAAATTTATAGGTGTACATTTTCATAGTGTTATCCTGATAACTTTCATAAAGTAACCTTTAAACTCAGTGGGGTTTATATCCATAGAGCTATGCATATATAAACTAGCTCTTATTAGTAGCAGAAATGTTAAGTCTTACTTATGTTAATTAATGTGATAATAAATCTTAATGACTTTTCTTTTTATAACCAGTTGCGCCAAGTCCTAGAACACTTATCTCAGCAGAATGAAAACCAGTATCTTAAAATCTTAACGAGTCTTGCTGAAGTAGCTACTACGAATGGCCATAAATTGCTTAGGTAACATAGTTATTGTTATTCCTCCTCCTCCTTTTCCTGCAATGGTATATTCTGATTGCCATCAAGCTGAACTTACGTAGATTCAAAGATAATAGGGAAGCAGCTAGAATTTTCTGAACAGACACAATGGTTTTGTTTATGGAGGAAAGGAAGTAAAGCTAAAATAAGGGGTTGAATGTGAAAATGCTTTAATGATATTTATGTCAATAAAGAATAAGCAACCTGTCCCATTCAGATGCTTGGATTAGAGATACAGAGATACAAGATATGGATACAGAACTAGCATCGTTTTCTGCATAGAGCTCTTGTCCCTTGCAAATGGAATATGACAGTGGTTCTCAACCTGTGGTCGCAGACCCCTGAGGGACTGTGGTGTCATCACAGGGGGTCCATGAAGGCTTGAAGAAATGTTATGATTTAACTTTGAGTTAAGTCTTGGGGGCCAGGTTCTGTGGCCACAAAAGGTATTTAAAGGGGGTCTGTGATAAAGAAAAGATTGAGAACTACTGGGATATGACATAGTAATTGATTAAATAGCTTATATTATTTAAAGTCTCCGTCAAAAAGTAGGAGATTTGTGAAATGACTCCTATATTTTGATGTTTGAATATGTTTGGAGAATGGGGCCTTCAGTCTTTATTATATGACTACTTAGAGTTATTGCATTCCTGCAGTATAAATTTTCTATATACATTTTGTTAACTAAAATAATTGCCTATGCTTTATTTCAGTTTGTCAAGTAATTATGAGGCACAAATGAAGAGTCTGTTGAGGATAGTGAGGATTTTTTGCCATGTCTTTCGTCTTGGTCCATCCACTTCCAATAATGGAAATGATATGGGCTACAATGGAAATAAAACTCCAAGAAGTCAAGTGTTCAAGGTCAGAAAAGTAATGCTACTAGATATTAGTAGAAAAATAGATAATATAGAGAGGAATGTGTATGGTATCATGTTTGTGTGTGGTAATCCACATGAGAAGAAAATAAATTTGTTTGATATCTATTTAAGTTGGCCCGCCTTGATTTTTCTTTCCCCCTGTAATCATTACTGTTTTATATTTATGTGTCTAAAGTTCATTCTATTTAAGATGTTAATACGTTTATGCAGATTGGATATCTTTAGTTGATTAGTTTAATTACTTAGACCCAAATTTATCCGGCACAATATCTGGGCTTTTGGAAACAAGGTTAGAATTTTTTGTTTTATTATTTCTTTGAAAATCTCTATGTTGTGTGTGAAGCAGTAGATTTCTTAGATATAGGTTTTGGTGTAGGATTTAATATTTATAGTTTCTAGTTAATTATTTCCCTTTTGCACAGGCATGTCAAACTCGCGATGTCACATGATGTCGTGCAATGTATCGACCAGTTTTGCCATTGCCGGCAATGGGGTGAGCACGGCTTCCACGTGACGCGTCTGGCCCGTGGGCTGGCAGTTTGACACCCCTGCTTTTGCACATGATTTCCATGACTATCATCTTCTAATACTTATACATACATTTTTTACTTACCTAAAGGCATGACAACTGTTTCTCATTTGTCTGATACTGTGACACTTCTTGCAATTGAATATTTATTCGACTTGTTTGTGGCTTTGTAACCTATGAGGTTTCAAATACTGAAGTAATGTTTTTACTCCTTGCCTTTATTATTGTCACATGATTGTGTTACTGTATGAACAAAAAAAGAAGCCAAACTTTCACTTCTTGTTTCATTTATTTTATAAATCAAATTATCTAACATTTATTGCATCAGGGTATAGAAGTAATCCCTAAATGTAATTCTACAAACAGCCTTCTTACCACTGTTGTTACTTGGGAAACCAGAAAGTGAAGGGACCATGGGACACTCTTGAAACTGTGGTCTATTTTTTCAGCAGGAGTCTAACCCATCAAGACTCCAGTAACCGTCAGTTACTAACAATACTTGACTAGGAAATATCTGAAGGACACCAAAATGGAAAATGCTGATCTAGCTTCATAAAGAATGCATTTCATTCTTCATTACAATGAAATTTGACATTGCTGTTTATTAACTCTTCAGTTACAATCCTTTTTAACAGTATAAATGCTTTGTTCTTTCTATATACCTGGTGGAAGTTGAATTTCAGACTTGCCCAATTCATACTTTGCTGTCATACTGATAAATTAATGACAAAAATAAATTATCCTATAAATTGTGGATATTTTTTCTGGCCAGCTATTAAAAAACTGTAATCTTGCATTGTTACTGTTTAGGTTATTCTTATAGAGATTTCTACGATAAATGATTGGCATTTGTATATATCAGAATATATGATTTGTTTGGTATTTGCAAAGTGTGATTATCTGCAATCTCTTTTAAGAATTGGGAAAGAAACATGCTGATGTTTTCTGCTGTAGTAGAGATTATTTTAGATCATCTGCCGGATTTTAGATCATCTGCCTCCTCCCCCTCCCCTTCCCCTTTCCCCTCCCCCTCCTCCTCCTTTCCAGCAAATGCAGGATCACCTTTTTCTCCACATCAATCTAGTTTTGATTGATTGGTTGCAGCAGGAATTAATCGATCAGCTTGTTGCCCAAGCTTGATGTGAACCTGGCTAAGAGAGTAACTGGTCCAAAGTCGCCCAGTCAATTTTCATGCCTAAGGCGGGACTAGAATTCAGTCTCCTAGTTTCTAGTCCAGCAACTTAACCACTACACCATGCTGGCTCTCATTTATTTCTTTTTAATATTTTATTTTAATATTTATCAGGAAAATGGTTATTTTCATGACAGAAAATATGCCAGAGGAAATGGCTTCCCTACTTGTTTAATTAAAAAAGGAAAATACATTAGAATTGCCAGTGTTCATATCAGTAAATGCATATAATAAACTATTGTACATTGACCTAAAATTTATCCCCTTAACTTATATTTGGTAGCCTTTGGAATTACTTTGGCACTCATTAGACGAATGGCTAGCCCTAATATCTGCAGAATTAATGAAGGACAAAGCCAACATCTCTTCTATCTTGCTGAAGCCAAAAGGACCCAGTCAGCAAGAAGATAGCATTCCTACACCGACTTTTGAAGTAGCTTCAAGCGAGACGAATGCACTTTCTGTGGAAACAGAGGGATCTAAAATGTATGAAGTTGGCAGTGCCCAGGAAGCTTACGTGGACTGCCAAGATGTTATTTCTGTGACAGCAAACCGGCTGAGTGCTGTCATTCAAGCATTTTATATGTGTTGCTCTTGTCAGATGCCTCAAGGGTAAGTTTCAGAGCTTTTCATTTCCTTCTTCTTCCAGATCATTTAAAACCTGGTTTCTCCTCTGCTTCCCACTCAGTGACCGGCGTGTCTTGGGGTTACAGTGATACCCGGGGCTGGCTGGATTGCTGTTGCTAAATGTTGTTACACCACACTTTTCTACCACATTGCTTAGTGACTGCAGTCTTGGTCCCGATTGCCATTGTAACTCAAGGCCTAAGTTAAATAATCAACCTGTGAATACTGAGTTCTCTGTTTCTGTCCTGTCACCAGAAGCCATATATGATCCCAGCAGAATTCTAGAGAATCACCAGAAGTAAATGTTAACATAAAGAAGGATTTACACTTTCTCATTTATTTATTTGAGAATGCACATAATTGTCAGGAGGCAGGTCAAATAGGAAAACTGTGAAGAATGAGAGCAAGTTAATAAAACTCTTAGAACATCATAGCCAGTGGAGGGATGTCACAAAGATTATACTCATTTAGGGCTCCCCCAAAGAACTCTTAGGACCCCTTGGAGTTAACGCCGGGTAGGTTTACATACCATTAAGTCACGGTTATTTAACAATACGTCATGTATACATCATATCGACATGGTTCACGCACCACAGTGGATCAAACCAACAAGTTATAGGTAAGTGCAGTATATCATCTCATCCTTTGTATTATCACAGTGATAATATGTACAACATATATAATATCTACGTATATGTAATTGTATGCTAGGCTCTATTTTAAAATAACATATTGTATAACAACTGTTCAAATTAGATTATTAGACCATTAAAAGGGTTTGAACCTTCCTCTGGGAGTGCTTCTATAGCTGAGTGTTTTTGTAGCTTTTTTCATCCATCTACTTTATTAAATTAGAGTTTATGCATATTTTTTAAATTATCCTTTCAAAAACCTTTATGGATAAAATGTTTAATATAGAGCAGGTAACCTTAATGAAGCTGCTTCAAAAGTAGTTTTTTTAATATCTTGGAAAGAAAACATTGCAATGAATTATTATTTTTTACAATGGTTACTTTGTTAAACTGTTTGGACTTTTGTTGCAGAATGACATCTCCTCGCTTCATAGAGTTTGTCTGCAAACACGACAATGTTCTTAAATGCTTTGTAAACCGGTATGTCACCAGAAATACACATGCTTCGTAAGTTGCGCGTAGCTCAGTGAAAGTAGTTGCCGTAACTGATTGGAATGCTTATCTGATTCTTAGTAAGAGTCTGGATACATTTTTATTCTTTTGAAACTTTTCTAAAATAATTCCCGAAAGGGAGGTTAAAATTCATCTGATGAACCGCTGTCGATTAGTTAACAAAAAGCCAGTGTGGACTACTGTCCCATTTCTTCTTGTGCTCGTGGGGGAAAAGTTTTGGAAATAAAAGACTTGTTTTGAGTTGCTATTGTTTTGTGTAAGTCAGGGGTAGGCAACCTTGGCTCTTTTATGACTCATGGACTTCAACTGTTGAAGTCCACGAGTCATAAAAGAGCCAAGGTTGCCTACTCCTGGCATAGGTGGAACACTTGAGCGATTCCAAGTATTGCTCTATTAGAATCAGCCAACTTGGAATGTTACAACAAAACCTTTTCAACTCAGCTGTTTAATTTTGAGTTTGATGCAAGTTTCCTATTTCACGCATGCTCCTTCTTAGACTTAAATACTGAAGTTCACTATAATTGTTCTTGCATTTAAAACAGGTAAAAACTCCATCTGAGTTGGTCTATATTTGACCTGAATTAGTGAGCTCCGTTTCATTTTGTTTGTTTTTCCAGAAATCCTGAAATTATATTTGATCACTTCCATTTCCTTCTTGAGTGTCCTGAACTTATGTCCAGATTTATGCATATCATAAAAGCACAGGTAAATATTCAAAGCCTAATTTAAAATTCCTCTCCCCATCCAAGTCCTGCTGTGTAGCCTTATGGTGGTGGTGTTGGGGTCTCCTGGGAGGGATGAATGAAGAATGTCATTAGTATAGTATATGCCATAGTCATGCCAAGGCTGTATATTCCCAGGAGGGTGATCAAAGGAATAAAGGTAATCCCAGCTGCCCAGCTAAAGGAAGTAAGCACCAATATTGGGCAGCAGGTATACAGAAAGATGTTTGAAGCAGACGATCACTTTACTGACAATGGCAAAGGCATCGATTCATATTGAATTGAGAAGGCAGTGGTAAACCACATGGATAGAAAATATAAAATGATTGATGATATAGTGCCAGATGATGTGCCTCTTAACATGATGGCACTCAACAAGCTACTGAGGTAGTATTTATTTCACAGTTAGATTAAAGCCTTTGTAATGTTTGCTAGCTGATTTTGCAGTGCAAGAAAAGAAAAGCTGAAGCTCTAAACACAAAATCAAGGTGGAATATGGAATACAAGAAACACAAGCATGGGAAAGCTTAACACAATGAAAGATGAAATGCATCTATTACTCACTGACATCTTAGCTATCAGCAATATGGACTGGAACTGGATGCTTTCAGTGAGAAGAGCACACTGTTTATTTCTCAGGACATGAAAAATGAAGAAATGGCAGTGTTTTCATCATTAGGAATGGTTTAGCAAGAAACTAAAATTCAATTACTGACAGAATAATAATCAGTTACAGTTCTTGAATAATGCTTCATGAAGATTATTCAAGTTTATGCGCTAAATACTGATGCAGGATAAGAGGAGATTGATGAGTTTGATTATTAGTTTGAAATTGATTGAAGATGTAAGCAAGATGTGCTGCCTCTGGGTGAAGACAAAAATGCCAAAATTAGAAATATTAAGGAAGAAAAATGTAGTTGGGCTAGATTTATTTTCTTCCAAATGACAAGGGATGATTTGTCACCTATGCAAAGATTTTAAGCAGGAGAAGGACAATCTATATTTTCAAGAGTGGGAATTACTCCCAAGTGCCACTCTCCCACTTTGCAGTCTTTGGGATCCCTCTGATTGAGATTGCAGAAAATTGAACTGAGGAACAAGTTAAAAATGTACCACAAATTCATATCGCGGAGAAACCCCCCCCCGAAGATCCTGCTCAAAGACCTTCCTAAACCAAGCACAACTATTTGTATTGTGTGGCCTAAATCACTTTGCAGCCTTTGATTCTCCCAGTTTTTTTCAGTTGCCTCTGAAAAAGTTGCCTGCTGTGTAATCAGCGGGATGAATCAACAGAACCATTTTGCTAATTCTGTATGTCCAAGATAGCTTTGCACTTTTATATCTTATTAGGCATTGTGAAAATACATCCTTCCAAATGATGGGAATCTTTCAAAACATTTTGTGATATGCTGTTTGAATCCCTTTTGCTAAGAAACAAACATTATGCTGAATTTTTGCATGGAAATCATAATCTTTGTCTTAGTGTTTCTACTTTTAATTCTACCCTGCCTGATAAATCAAACATTTATTCTTGCATATTCTCCTTAGCCATTTAAAGATCGCTGTGAATGGTTTTATGAACACTTGCATTCTGGACAACCGGATTCTGACATGGTTCATAGGCCTGTAAGTGAAAGTGACATTCTATTGGTTCATAGAGGTAAGGAAGTTCATGTGTATAATATTCTTTGCATTAAATACTTATATATTGAACAAAAGTGAGAAATTAATGTTGTTCATATTTAGATTCTATTTTTAGGAGCAGCTGTGAAGTTGTATCTAAAGCAAATTGTGTAAAGTTGAAGCAAGGAATTGCTGTACGTTTCCATGGTGAAGAAGGCATGGTGAGTAACATTATATACTGGATAATAACTGTAACATGTAGTTTTTAGGAGTGCAGTTTCCTTAGGATAGAAATTGTTCAAAATTTGTTATAAAATTTGTGTTAAATGAAGGAGAAAATACTCCTTGGCTGTTGAAATGGGCTTGAGGTAGATATTTCAAAACACAAGTATTTCTGAAAGCAAAGATTAATAACAGAATTGTGTATTACTTTTAACCTCCTACTAGTGTTCCTTTACAAAGTGCTATATCTGGTGCTAGTGCTTGTGTCTTCTTATTTGAAAGCACTGGGTGGTTGTTAATCAGGTTTGAGCCATAACTTCTTAAAAGAGGGGTCAGAAGTTCATAACTTCCATGGCAGCTCTAGACCTGTCATTGAAGGTCCAGTA